TCAGCAGGTGAAGTCTGGCCAGGCTGGGGGCTCTCTGGCCCCCACAGCTATTGCTGCACCTTGCACAGAGGGTTTGGGGCCAGGTCCTGTGAGTAGGGACCCTCCGGGGAAGGAGTCTGGGGAGCAAACCCAGGGACACGTGGAGGGCCATTGGAGCCTGAAAGAGAGACTTCAGCAAATCCACTGAGGTGGTTCACTTGCCCTGGAGCAGACGTGTCTGTAGATGAGATTTATTGAGGAAGAAGGGGCACATTCACACTCAAAAGGCGTTTAAAGTGGGTTTTTGTATGTATTGCTGGTGAGCAGGAGAGGGAAGCGCTGTGTGCGGCGTTGCAGCCTGCAGCCCGGGCTGCTTCCAAGCAGCAGCATCCTGGGAAAGGTGCAGTGAATCACAAAATGCATCATCATCTGCCGAGAGAGAAATTCAGCTGGATGCCAGTGACCCCTGTTGATCTCGAGGGAGGTTTCTGCTGCACAGAAATCAGTTTCTGGTTTGTTTTACAGTTTGGGATAGTTTGTGAGGATGCGCTGCTCTGCCACAAAGTCCTGGAGGAGATAGATGGCCATGAAACTTTTATGGGGAGGTAGCAACATGATGGTGACACCGTGACCTTGTCTAGGATTACTTACCTGGCTGTCTCCCAGAGAATAAAACTGGGCCTTGTCTTTACTAGCTCTTGGAGGTGGAATAACAAACATGTTGTACTTTCTCCACTGTGAAGATGTATCTTTATGTGGTCAAGATAAGGCTTTAAATTTAGGGAGGCAACTGCCCAGTTTTTTAAGAAAAGAAACTTTTGCAAAGGTGCAAATGGGAGTTGGAAGCTTGGGTACTGATGGGCAGTGGGAGCAGCCGTGGTGGGAGCTTCCCTGCTCAGAGAGAGCTTCATGGTTGCTTGGTTTGTGTGCCCAGATGTCAAGAAACAGTAAAATCAAGGTTGTAGGTGCAGTTTTAACTCCTTGGTGCCCGTGTGCTGGATGTGACTGATGTCACACAGTCAGGCACTTTCACCCCACTTTGTTCCCTTACAAGACGCGCTACGGAAGACGGGCTGCGGACACAGTGAGTTTTGCTGTGCGGCTTCCTCATCTTCGATGTGCCTTCACCAAGGAGAACTCATGTGGTGTGCATGCGAGGGCAGAGGGAGGACAGACCTCCCTATTCCTGGCAGTAGCACCTTTCCAAACTTCAGTTGCGTGTGAAGCTGCACCCACTGAGCTCAGACCTGGGGGTGCTGCCAGCTCTGCAGCTGCCGTCCGATTTCGGCGCTCGCCTCTTCGGGGAATGGCTCACTGGGGTCTCTCGTGCTGGCTCCTTGCGGGTCAGACAACTGCATCACAGAATCTCTTAAATAAAGCCATCAGGTCTCAGACTCAGCTGGAGCCTCCTGCAGCCAGCTGGTTAATCTGGAGCTCCTCCGGCCCCGGCACTTTTGACGTAGCCACAGCTCAGGAGCGAACGCATCTTCTTGGGAAAGCTGATGTTTTTACTAAGCAGCAGACTTTTATTATCTGAGCTGAGAACGCAGTGATTTCCTTCTCCTGCCAGTAATCCCCACTCACGGCACTGTTACGCTCTTTTACAATTTATTTTCTTGTCTCTAATTGCTGGTTTGCAGTGGCCCTGCAGCTCTCCCTGGGCTGTGTTCTGGGGAGCTTTTGCACTTTGAAAGCAGCGTAGTCCTTCCCTCCTGGCCACTGGAGCGGGGCAGCGATTCCTCTCCAGGTGCTTCAGTGAGAGTCCTGCTGGAAAAATAAGTAATAGCCCTGCTTTTCAACTGGTGCCTGATAACTGTGCCCTAGAGTAGAGGTTCAGCTGTTTCACGCATCCCTGGTGAGCCCTGATAAACTGCCCCTGCCAGAAGTAGTCAACCAATGTATGGTACCAGTGCAGCAGTACGATATTTTGCTGGTGGTGCTCCGGCTCACATCCTGCATATGGTCCCTTTGTTTCACCTGGGCACGGTACGGTTCTTCCCATCCATCCTGGGTAGAGCACCATGGTGCTACATTTCTCCCAGGTTTTGTCCTTGTGCTGGCTGAAATGACTCTGCAGTACGACTTGTGTATGTGTTCAGCACCTTTAGGTACCTGTGGATGAAACGTGCTTAAGAGCCACCCGGGCAGGACTGACTGTCTGGTGTGGTGGTCCACAGCAGCTCCAGCTGTCATCTCCCTGAGCCAGACTTGTGGATTGGGACTTTTTAAGTTTTAGTGCATGTAAAACTATTTTTTTATTGATTTTTTTTTCCACTAATCACACAAGAAAATATTTTAAAATTAGATAAATAACGATGCGTCGTGGTCGAGTTCTGCTGTGTGTGCATAGCTACTGTGATGGAAATTGTAAACACGAGCTCCGCTCTGCCGTGCGGTCCCTTTGCCTGCTGGAAGCTGGGTGCGGATCCGATGCTTTATCGCTGCCATTGAGGTATTTACTCCGCTTCAGCTAGACCTGCAAACGAGCTGCCTTAAATTACTACTTTCAAAAATATCCTCAAAATAAAAAAAAAGAAATAGAAGAAAGACAGATTCAATTGTCCTCCAGCAATAAGAGTTCCAATAATGCCGTGTTATGAGCAGGGCAGATTTTACCAGCAGCAATTCCAGGCAGTTGGATTTAACGGGGGATCAGAAACCCGTGCTGATTCCGTAATGCGGTGTCGCCTCTGTTTCCCTACGAGAGCCACTCGTGTGAGCACAGGGGCTGACCCGCCGAGTTTCCCCCGTTTTGAAGTGCTCGGAGTCTGGCCGTGGGTCACTTCTGCTGCTGGCAGCTGGGGCTTTAGTATTCTTGCAGCCAGCCCTTTGCGAGGCATATTTCAGAATAAGCAACTACTGGGAGAGTTGGGCGTGAGGGATTTTGGATGTGTAAGACTCTTTTTTGCCAAAGTTTTATTATTTCTTGCATCTATTAATAGGGCAGCAGGAGGCTCCGTATGCTTTTATAGTCCCTGTTGCGCTCTCTAATGGATATATGCAAAGGCTCCAAGGCGCATAAAATAGACACTCTTAGCCAGTTATTATGACAAAAATTATGTGTATGTCATGACCTTTAAAGCAGTGGGACTGTGTGTGCATGCTTTTCTGATATGCCACTGGTCTCAATTCCTTTCCAAAGCATTTCTCGCCGTAGGAGGTTTGCATAGGAGCTTGGAATATTTTTCTAATCAGCGAAGAGTCTCTTGGCTCTGATGATAACTTGCAAAGCACAGAGGAGCGAGGAGAGGGAAGAGGGATGACTTTTTCTAAGGGAACTAACAGAGAAGAGGTTAAAGGCGAATGGTGAGGCACAGCATGAAAATCCTGCCACCGTCTGCAGTGCTGTCAAAAAAACACTGGCCCAAAAAGTGCTTTGTGCTCTTTGAGGAAAAAGCTATTCTGGTGCTCTTGAGGATAAAGAAGGAAAAAAAAGTTTCGTAATCTATGTGCCCTATTTAAAGAGACTTTTTTTGTTTTAAAACTTTCAATAATAGTGCAACCAGAATTCGCTCTGCTTGCGTAGCCCGTGTGTTTACCCCACTCCATGTCGGATGTGCCGTTGTGCCTGGAGAGCTTTGCAGTATTCCGTACGGGCGTGAAGAGCGAGACACCTGCTGTCGTGGCGAGGGAGGCATGGAGAGAGGGGCTCCGTGTCCTCGCACCGCTGCGTCCCTCAATCCATGGCGTTAGGAAGGGTTGCTGTCGTCTGGGATCGCAGATGGTTGCTCTCACTTGCTGGGGCAGTCCTGGTGCGGGTTGTCGGGAGCTGCGGACAGAACGCTTCGGTGGCACGCCTGGGAGGTGTGCGGACACCAGATGGGATGGAGACACTGTTGGCAAACGTGTGTCGGTAATTTCTGCTTTGATCGCTGCTTACACCATAGCTTTCTGCATGCTGGCATGGCGGGCAGCAAGTAGCAGCAGGTCCCTGTCCCGCCAGGTGTGACTGCTTGGGGTGCACCCGGGAAGGAGGAGCTGGAAGTCCTGGAGATGTGATGGTCTCAGCGGCTCTTGAGTAACACGAGAAGTTATGCAGGGCGAGCAGCAAGGCCTGACGTCACTTGTGATAGCATTGATACCGAACCCCCGTGGAGAGGCGTCAGGCCATGCTCAGCTGAATCCCAGGCTTAACAAATGGGAAAAATAACACTTATGGCTTTAAAAATTAAACATTCCCTTTAATTATTGAACATGAATAATTTTCATGCAAATTGAGCCCGGATGTGTATTTCCAGAGTGACACAGTTGAGAGTGGTTACATCGTTGGGTGGTGACCTGGGAACTGAGAGGCTGTTCGTTATTTTAGCATTTTATGAATAGTACCCTGGAGGGTGGGACACAGGCTGGTAGAGAGAGTTGGCCAAAGAAAAAGACTTTAGTCTGCACTGGTGGCCTTCCCTTCTAATGTCTTACCTTGCAGACTGGGATGTGTGTAGGTATGTTGTCTTTACATACCTGGGTCTGGATATTTTGGAAGCCTCCCGGCGAGAGGGGCTGTAATTCAGGGAATAACAGTGCAGTGACTGTGCTGCCGGATGCTCTCCTGCTTGCTGCCTGGAGGAAGCATGGACAGAAGGTCCTCAAGTCTTTGAAGGTGGAGAGGGGAAAACGCGCCCTGGGTTTTCCTAGGGTATTGGTGGTCTCCATGTAAAATGTGAGCTTCAATGAGGCAGTTTGGCACAATCTGCTGTGTGTGAGAGTGGTCCTGGCTGGGCACGCACAGATGGACACTGTGTCGCTGGCTCTCAGCATCCCTTTGGACCATGCAGCAGCTCATGTCCAGGGCAGATGAAATGTTGGATCTGGTGCACTTGTGAAAGCTACAGCACTGCAGGGGCTTTTCAAGTGGCTTTGAGGACACTTAGTGCAGGGTGGGCGCTGGAGGTCAGGTCTGAATACCCTCTGTGATTAAGCTCCTATGAATATTTTCCTTTTCATAATGGAATGTCAGCATTTACTGTTTCCTGATTTTAAACACTGTACAGTTTGTCAAACATTTATCTCTGCTTTAAATTAAGTCTCCAGCTAGAATTCCTGTTAATTTCAAATCAATGGGAAAGAGGGAGAGAAAGAAATTGCAGTCTAGCTCTTTTCTTGAATCAATATTTTCTTTAAAAGCTGAAATGTTAACTAGATCATAGTTTTGGCCATGTTGAAATGTAGCTTGTCTTTAAAGAATATATGCATTTCCCCTGAAAATCCCTGATGCTGTTAAGTTTTGCAGCAGACACGGCTGCCAGCCGGCATGCAACCTGAAGTGGGCAAGATGGGACCAGCCTTTGCAGCAGTAATGTGGTACAATGTTATCCTCCCTGTTCCTGAGCTTGTTGTCTCTTAATAACTTTATTTTCATTTGTTCTGTTTTGCAGAAGCCTTTGAAATTGTAGTACGGCATGCCAGAAACTTCACCAACAGCATGTTTAGGACCTACTACCAGAGCATGGGGCCCAGAGCTCTTAAATTTGTTGGAGAACTTTTTACTGATATCTCGCTGTACATATTGGGCTCTGACATCAGTGTTAATGACATGATAAATGAATTTTTTGACAGTTTATTCCCTTTGGTTTACTCTCACTTGATTAATCCCGGCTTCCCTGATCCCTCCGTGGAAATGACTGAATGCCTGCGAGCAGCCAGGAGAGACCTCAAAGTCTTTGGTAACTACCCGAAGACGATGATGACGCAGGTGTCCAAGTCGCTGCAGGCCACGCGAGTCTTTCTGCAGGCGCTCAACCTGGGGATCGAGGTGATAAACACTACGGACCACTTAAAATTCAGCAAGGACTGTGGGCGAGCGCTGCTAAAGATGTGGTACTGCTCGCACTGCCAAGGGCTCCTCCTGGCCAAGCCCTGTGCCAGCTACTGTGGCCTGGTGATGCAAGGATGCTTGGCGGGCGTCGTGGAGATCGATAACCACTGGCGAGAGTACATTGGGTCGCTGGAGGGGCTGACCAAAGGCATGCGTGGCATCTACGACATGGAACATGTCCTCCTGAACCTTTTCTCCCTGGTGCGGGGTGCGATCGTCTACGTGCAGAAGAACGGAGGAAAGCTCTCGACAACCGTGAGTGGTTTTCTGTGGTTCCCCATACTTGCTGCTACGGCAGGGCTTGGCTGTGTATTGCTAGCTTGACACGTTGAAACCAACGTACCCCTGTCCTCCAACCAGCAAATCCCAAATGCTCCAGTTCCAGCTCCTCCCCTCTTCTCCCCTCAATTCTATATTTTTAAAACTTTTGATAGCATATGAAACTGGTGTTTACGTGGCCTGGGCTTCGGTTAAGGGCTTTGCTGCTTTTCGGGTTGGCCAGAGCAGAAGTGTCTGGAGTCATCCTGGCATCAGCCTTGTAGCTAGGGTTGAGACTGGGAACTGAGATGTCCCAGCCTCTTCAGTACCCCCGGGTGCTGTGCTTGCCTCGGGTAGCTCTGAAAGGCTGGTCCTGCTCTCCAGATGTCCTCTGCCTTCTTCAACTTCACTGAAAAATGTACCTCCAAATAGATGCCAAGTGAAAGCGTGTACCGTGGCATCCCCTGCTTCCTGACTTACTAAAGGAGATCTGGTTTTCCCTCTTTTGGTGGCTCATTTCAGTTTTAAACTGCCTTTAATCCCAGGCATGAGGTTATTTCTTATTTATTAGGAGTGACTTTACTCTTTAAAACCATATTGTGTGAATTTTTGAGCCTCCCAAGAAACTGAGGCTTTCTTATTCAGAAAACCCTGCTGCTCTGTTTGAATGCCAAGGACAAATGGACTGTGGCAATATAACGCTTGTTTTGCAGAGAAGATGCTTCTTGAGATACAGTTGAACTGCTCCGTGCAGGGTAGAGTTGGGGATGGGGACAAAAGTGCAGGGATGTTGTTATAGTTTGCTTAACGCCATCGATGATTAAAATCTGCCACCGTTTCCCTGTTAGCTGCTTGTTCCTATCATTCTTGACTCCTGTTTACAAAAGAACTGTGTTTATGTAGGTCACTGTAGTACTTGCACTGTAACTCTTATCTTTTTTGGGGGACCGTGGAGATGTGTCGGCTTATGGATTTGGAGCTAGGTGGCATTCAGCCAGCAGCACTCTTCTGTGCTGTTTTATGTGCTGTCTTTGCTCGGTGATTGCACAAGACATGCCACCACACTTGTGCAGCCTGTGAAATAACGTGGTGGCATCTGGGCAGTTTTGCACACCCTGAGTAGTTTGGCACACATGGTGCAAGCTCTATTCATTGCTTAGAATGGCTTTAGGGACCGACTCTCCAGTAAGTTGGATTACTTTTGTGTTGCGGTGGCCAGGAGGAGGCTGTGTCTGAGGGCTGGGTTACGGTGTTGGTCACCCGGGCAGATGGATGCAGGAAGGACTCATGGGCTGCACCTTAGGCTCCAGGGTACGGTGCAGGATGCGGGCTTTCAACCTGCACGCCTTAGCCCCTTTCTGCAGAAAAACCCTGTTTTATGGCTGCCTGCCAAGTGTTTCTCGTGTCCCCAGGACTGCAGGGAGGTTCCAGCTGACAGGGTCCGGGGCAGCAGCTCTGCTGGGCACAATTTCTGCTGCTGTGGAGCCAGGGCAGGCTCTTTTCCCATTGATCAGAACCTGTTGACTCTCTCTGAAACAGCAAAGGAGCAGAGGTGTAACTGTAGGTTTAGCCTGAGGTCAGGTGAGATGGAAAATTCATGTTACAGCCGACAAAGATGTATATAGGAGTAAAAACCCAGCTCAACTCTAAGCCCAGTTGGCATTTCCAAGGCAGTAAGAAACAAAACTTACTTCTACACGTAGTGTGAGCCTATTTGATCTTAAAAGATCAGTTGACATGTTTAGCTGTGAGCAAAAGCATCCAACACGTTTTGCACCAGCAAACCTGCTATGTTTGTAGATGCTAAGGCAGAACAGAAACATTTCCCTTACAGGCTGTATGCCAGGTTTTGCGAGCGCACACAACATGTGCATTGCTGTGTGGTCCTGAAAGGATAAGTGTTTGTCCTTCCGTATCCTTCTTTTATTGGCATAACAATAAAAATATACTTTTTCTTGAAGCCGTCCATGTATTCAGTGAAGGAACATGACTGTCAGTTATATTATTGAATATCGAGGCCTTGACCTGTCTACTGAAAATGTGTTTGTGGGAGGACAAGTAGATGGAGCATCGCTAAAGTCAGCGCAAGCTATGGCAGTAGAGCCATAATCTGCCGATTCTCTGCCAAAACAGAACATAAACTGGCTTCCTTTAAAATAAAAAAATCACTGAGCATTGCAAAACCATTCAGTGTTTTCGTACTTGATAGAGCTGTTTGAATTCATTAGTGCCATATGTGCTTAGGTACTTGTTTAAACATAACTCCTATTGATTATTTAATACTTGGGTGATTCTTTTATTTGTTCTAGAGACGTTTTTGAGTTACAGGAGTTCAAAGGGAAAAAATCCAAGCCAAACAAGCCAATTGTCTGACAATTGTCACTAAAGGAGAACGGATACTGAGTTTTTAAAGTTTATTTTTAAAATACTGATGTTGCTCAGCTAAAACTCGTGTCAAACCTGAGCCCAGAGCAACTTCTTTTATGAATGAAGATATGAGCTGTTCAGTAGAGGAACAGGGCAGTAATGGAAGTGCTGAGAGTCTTACCTACAGCATTGCAGATGGCCTGACTCTGATAGCTGGGCTGTGTCTGGGATCTGGGGTAAGTATCTCTGCTTATAAGTGATAGATTACTTTTTTTTTTCAGATGTACTGGAATGAAAGTTTCTCTGTTAAACTTATCAGTACATATTGAGTTTCAAGGAATATATCCAGAAGGAAACAGTTGTGTTTACCATTATCCTGTAAATATGATTGTTTTTAGACACTATTGTCATATCAAAGTATAAAATGCTGTGGGAGTTGTCTTTAGTTCCAACTCCGCATGGCAGAGGGGTTGGAACTAGATGATCTTTGAAGTCCCTTCCAACCCAAACCATTCTATGATTCTTTGAAAATGTGAGGCTTTGTTCTCACTGGCTTCTCATATCGACCTCTCTTAGTACTGACCTTGGCCACCACCACTTCTGTAGGTAAAGTTCAATTCACCTGTATGCTATTAAAGATAATGACAGGTTATTTAATTGTCATTAAAACCTCCTGGAATTATGGAAAACTTCTCTTCCGTGCCTGTGGTGATGACAGCCTGAATAGCACCACTACTGCCCTTGCCTGTCCTTTGAGATTCTTTTGTTTCTCAGTGCATTGGTGGCTCTTCTGCAGCAGCAGTGTTTCCTCCTGATATTTCAGGTCCTTGGGTGCGTTACCCGACAGAGCTGCCTTCCTCTGTGCGGCTGCTCCTCTGTCCTCCCTCACCACCCACCCCTAGGCTGGGTGCAGACACTTGCACGACGAGCTGGACCCTTCTATCTTGCAGACCTGGTCATGAAGGACATGTGAACCTGAGCTCCAGAGGTGTTGCAGAGCCTCCAGGTAGGTTTCTGAGGAGCTCTGCAGTTCCCAAGGCTTGGAGTCATACTGTTGTTAATCTGCTTTTGGAAACCGTGCGCCTCCAGACACGCATTTAAATGTAAGCCTGGTGTGGTTCTTGGTGTGTAAATAGCAATGCAGAAGAGTGAATTCAGTAATATTCTGGCAGTAGGCAGTTTCCATCCCAAGCCTTGCTTTAACAATTAATTTGTCAGGGGTGGTGTGTGTTAGGGCTTTATTATTTCCACAATTTGTCTGTTTAAAAACTTCACCCCTAAAATATGCTATTAAAATACTTTATCAAGGCGGCTGAGTCTCAAGGCACATGAGGGAAAAAAAAATTTGAGTCTAAGGCTATGTCTATATCCTATTAATTTTCCTGTCTGCTACTTTTTTGCTCTGGTTGAAAATGTGCCTAGTACGTCCATGTCTTGTAGATATTTTAATCATGAATGTAGGGAAGAGTGATTTCAGTCAGTCTGTTCGTGCTTTCTACCACAAACAAAGAGAATTGGAGGGATGCAGTACAAATAAATGTCATAAAATATTCAACCTGAACACCTCTTGAAGTTAACGCTTTCTCTGCTCTTGAAAGTACAAGAGAGACAATAGGTCTGGGTGTCTTACATTGCTACTAGTTGATCTCCACTGGGGTTGCTTACCTTAAGCCAGCACTGGAAATTTATTTTGAAAGGTTGCAGAGTTGAGGTAAAGACTGTTGATTAGACACGGGTATTAATTTGTCTACATAAATATATTTTTTTTTTCTTGAGGCTTTTTCTGCCCTGTGTAACTCATCAGGGTTTTGAACGTATCTCAACAGATTGAGAAATAACAGGCAATTCAGAGTGTGGTGAGACATGAACCGAAAAAGGTGGGTGTGTTGGGGTGAGGCTGTAGGGTGTATTGCATGTGAGATGGAGGGTGCACCGCAACTGTGAATCGTTGGAGAAAGGGATTTGGGCTTTGGCTCCATTAGCCGCTTGGTTCTGCACACTCAGCAGAGCGTGTGTCCCCTCCCAGCCCTTCGGACGGGGGTGGCAGGACTTCTCCTGCCCTTTAGCTGTCCTGTGGTGCCTCCCCGTTGGCACGTGGAGCTGGAGTCGCCGATCCCTGGCTGGCACAGCAGGACTCTGCTTGGCAGGACCCGTGTGTGGTGTCAGCGTAATTGGGGTCGGGGACAGAACACGCTGTAGAGCTGATGTGTCTGTAACACCAACTGAGTCTGGGAATGAAAACTGGTTGTGAAGGAATACAGGATTAGTTTTACAAGTCTCATAGAAAAAGTACATTATGAAAAACACCAGCAACCCACCACCATAAAAACCACAACATATCAAGAAGCTTCAGCTAGTCCAGGCTTGTGAGGCAGGTGTGCCCCACTCCAGGCATCTGCATTTCTAGGTAAAAATGCAAAGACACGGGCTGGTAGAGCTGCCCAGCCCCTGGTGCCCCCCTTGCCGTCGGTGGAGGAGTGCAGCTCTGTGCAGAGCATTGCCAAGGAAAGAAAGAGTGGAGTACTCGGCAAAGCGTTTTTCTTCACTCAGAACTGACGGCTGAATTTCTAGAAAACCCTGTTAAATTGTGAAATGAAGGTAGCCAGACCTTTGTTGAACCCATCGCACCC